ATTTTGAGCGAACACGCGGTTTTCCCAGTCTGAAGGACCATCATGCATTTCACCTCCGTGCAGAGATTCGGAATGTCACAGTCGTGTTACAAACGTGCTCTTGGTTTGGTACATCATGTCCACTTTCCTCCCATATTTAATCACTGTACTCACGTTAAAAGCGCAGATTCAGTCCCACTGTGGAGAGCTCTCAAGTGTCATTTCCGACTGGCGCGTAGATATTCAGGTGAAGCTATGTACATTTAAAAGACCAAATGTTGACAGGATGGTGAGAGAGTATATGCAGGAAGCGGCGATGCAGGTCAGAAGACCCCCATTGAGTCATTTGAGGCGCCTGGTTAATATCCACAGCACGGGCCTGTGAAATCGGATTGTTGGTCGCTCAACAATTTCTCATGTGCAATTATCGCTGAAATGGCCGTAATGTGTCCTCCAGTTGTAATCACAACTCCCCCTGGTAGCTCAAGATAGGTTAGCTGAGAAATCTGTCTTGATAACAAGTATTCTTTTTCTGAGTTTTATGTGGCCATGCACGGCTGGAATGTAAATAGTATCCGCAACTCAGGCGGAAGCGCTAGAAAACTTCACCGGCAGAAAATCCCATCGTCGTGCACTTTTGAGGCACTAACTCGCCCTTATCTGCACCACCGGAGTTCTCGCCACCAGCTGGGCATTACGGCACCTCATCGCCCCCCTGGGCACCCCCATCCATCTCCACCCACTTTTCAGGTGATAGATAGATCAGCCCTACAGAGAAATACAGATACAGATTTCTGTTTCCAACAAACCTACTCTTTATGAAATTTAATCTGGTTTCTCTGTGTGTCCCCCCCCCCCTCCCTTTCCACACAAGTTGGCGCTACCACAAAAAGAAGCAATTAATTGCCAAACAATGCATAAACTTTTCATTAGAAGTTCATTATATCAGAATGGTTCGCCACAAAACGGATTCATGATTTATGTCTGCCTGCTCCGGCAGATTGGGGGCGCTGAATACTCCATTAAACCATGGGGGCTCCTCCAGTAGTACATCTACTGCAGAATCTCAATCATCTCTGAGGAGCTTTACCACCAACAAACACTCGTCATCAAAGCCATACCTGGAAGGCACCATAAACAGGCTGAAGAGGCCTTTTGTTTTCACTCACAATTGCACATCGCTGAGTAAGAAGCAGGTGGATTTTCTCGAACCAAGACCATGACTTTGCTCCAAGATTATAACTGATGCCCTTGCTTACAGCATAAGAATGTTCACCTGCCAGCGATTTCATCTGAATCGAGCTGGGATTGAGTTCCTGACACGAAAAAAAACAACCAGTAATGGCTGCAGCAGTAACTGTATGAGAAACTCCTAATACACAATGCGATACATATTTTATTTTCCTTCTGAAAAGTTAGATTGTGAATAGTAGCTATTCAGGGAACATTTTCGGCACAAGTGCGCATTGATGTTTGATGTGATAAAAGCCGTTTATAAACAGTCGAAAACTAGTAACGCTTTTAACCCGAAATGTGGCGCTTGTGTCAGCCCTGAAGTGGCTGACTTTAATGAGAAGCCTAAATGATATAAAGCATGGTTTGAACAGCTATACGGCTTTGGTTTGAGCAGCGGATTTAAACGGAGGGATTCGAAAACTGCTGACGGTTTAGACTGATCCGCTCATTCGGTGACATTTGGAAAATGTGGCACTGGAGGCCTTTGGATGACTTTTTCTTTTTGGTTCTTTGGCCGTGATTCAGTGTGGCGCATTGAGGGGGCCCCTAGCGGCCCGAGGTCCGCTGGCAGCCTGCCTATATCGCCTAGGGCTGGACCCAAACCGGCCCCTACAGGAATAGTGTGTTTTACCCTCATATTAAGTTTGACCTTTAGGTTTGAATCACTCAGAGGTATTAGATTTTCTGTGTTCATTCATTTATTCATTCGTTCGTTCATTTATTTATCCATCCATCCATCCATTTTCCAACCCGCTTATCCTACTGGGTCGCGGGGGGTCCGGAGCCTATCCCGGAAGCAATGGGCACAAGGCAGGGAACAACCCTGGACGGGAGCCAGCCCATCATTTATTTATATAAGAACATAAATTTACAAATGAGAGGAAGCCATTCGGCCCATCAAGCTCATTTGGGGAGAACTCAACTAATAGCTTAATCAATCAATCAATCAATCAATCAATCAATCAGTCTGATTGTCTATCTGTCTGTCTGTATGCCTGCCTGTATCTGGTGTTTTCACTATACATTTGTACATATTTCATGATCACTGTTTAACTCAGTAGTGATTCCCAATGGCAACAAAATTCTATCCAGAGCGACCGTCCGATATCGTCGCAATGACCGATTTTAAATTTAAGCTCGAAGACATAGGTCTGCATCTGCAAATTGAGTAGGAGTTGGATTATGGTCTGGCAGGCTTTAGTGTGTTTAGTTTATAATCGACCACAATAGACGCAGAATCTCCAAATGATGAATCATCCCTGCAGGTAATTATGTGCAGTGTCTGTCATTTTCCTGGTCTCTGTTCCATCACAGGGTTGCATGTTAAATTTCTGCCTCATCCTGATTGGATAGTAGAAGAATGCTTGTTGTGGCTGTGTTCCCGGGGCCATTATGGTTGGAAAGAGTTTTTACTACTTATGCTGTTATACACTTTAGGTATGTGTTTATGTTGAGTGTTTGTGTAGAGCCATTCCCTCAGTAACGATCTCTGAAATGTAAAATGCACCGCAGTGTTGCATTGTAATTCCCTTAGCTACCCTCTCCCTCAAGCACAGAGGCGAGATTGCAAGGACCTCTAGAAATGACACGACACACTTGTACGCACACGTTCAGTCGTTACAGTGTGCAGTTCACGCACTTACAAACGCCCAGTGATTTTACAGTCTAGTGCAGGTAACACCATGGCAAAGTCTTGACTCTTTTTTTTTTTTTTGGATTTATTTCTTTGCGAGAATTCGCCTTTGAACATTTTATGAATGGTGGATCTAAAAAAATTATCCCTGCAGGGCCTTGTTTTATAAAGCAGCTATAAGATATTACCTTTCCCCTGACTTCCTGACACTGGTCTTATTTAATTATGTATTACAAAGTATTATACTTGCCTGGCCTGTTGAACATTCCCTACCCTTAATCGTGGCCTCCGAAGTCATGCTCTGAGACATGTGAAACCATGGAGGAGTTCTCTTTAATTTCCTTCCTGGAGAAAGTATAAATTTGTCAACACTGTCAAACTCTGTCAACTCTAACACAGTAAAAATGCTTTTCATGGAGACTCTTGAATTAGAATATGGCAACTTAACTAAATTGCCAGTATTAATATCTGTGTGCTATTATATTTAGTATTCACTTATGTGTTAAATACCAGCCAGTGTAAACTTTGTTTTTTTTCCCCACAGATATACATTTAGCATTTGCTGTACTATGACGTATATGTTATCTTGACCTTAGGATTGTTTCTCAAGATCACCTTCAGTAACCTCCAATTTCCTGTTGGCATTATATGGGGGTCAGGAATGTACGTCTTTCTTTGGCAGGGATTAATATATTAATTTGTTCCCCATTTGTAAAGGGATACCATGAAACCTCATCTTGCTGACCATCATTTATAATGTGCTCTGTTGACTTCTGGTGGAACATTCCATGCGGAAATTCGGCGTTCCATATGAGGGCAATTTTTTTTTTAGGACTAAACAGAACATGTAAATATTGTCTTAATAAACTTTCTTTTGTGTATTTCGGGACAGGAAATATGGCTGTTTCCAATTGGTCTTTAGCTGCTATGCGTACATCCACGCATCCATCTTTTTCGAGATAAGGGAGACATCACATGGCAGTTTAAGTGTATTAAGTGGAACACCTCGACTTTCTACTCCACAGAAATATGGGGTTTTATGACTTTTTCCGTAAACTCCAAGCAGACCATATCTGCAGCAGCGACACCACGTTACGGCCGAGATTGTGGACCCTACGTTTAAATTTACTTCGCCTCCTAGATCTGTGTGTGTATGTATTTTTTCGTTGTTTTGTGTACTTCCCCTGTCCCGATCCATCTCCCGTTTGCCGGTTACCGTTGTCAGCTGACATCTGCTCTCAGGCCCAATGTTTTGGCCAAATGTCGCATTATGGTATCATGTGATGTCCTTGGGGGGGGAAGAAAACTGATTGGGGTCCTTATTTCCAATCAGGAACGCAGGGTGGCTGATGCTCTGGTTGAGATGATTGATGATGATAGGTTGCAGGGCGTGGGGTGTGTTTGTGGGGGGGGGGGGGCACTGGTGGGGCATTCTGTGCATCTGGAGTAGCTGCGCGGATAAACATCCACGCAGAGTACTCTCCATGCCCTTCGCCCGGGAGCGGCGAGTGCCGCGGTCGCTGGGGTCTCACGAAGACGACGACCATCAAGTGTTTACTCCGGACAAAAATTCTCGATAAGAACCGGCGTCGTGGGAGGTACACAGCTGAGAGGGAGAGAGTGCCACAACTTTATTTAAAAATGAGGCTTTGGGTTCAGGCAAGCCAAGATGCAATGTGGAACAAAAATAAGATCAGATTTCACATAAGATGACAATGAGGACAACCAATGAGATAAAAGCAAAGGAATTCACATTCATTTCTATGGGCATGACCCTAATTCCAGCAATGACAACCTTAACCCCTACCCAGCCCTAACCTTAACCATAAGTAACCAAACAAAATACAAGACTTTTGGCATTTTTAGTTTTTTGATTGCAGTCGCACATTTTATAAAACTGAATTTCCCCCTGTGGAAACCGAAAAAATAGTCCCACAATGTCAAAATAACAGGTTTTTATTACATTGTGGGGACCAAATGTAGTGTATACCTGGACAACACGTACATAACCATATATATATAAAATATATAAGGCAGTGAAGAAGAAGAAGAAGAAGAAGAGTAATACTCTGTGATATATTTTCATTCAGCATGACATTCTGCTGTTGCTCTACTTCGTTGAATAACACTGACTGTCTGCTTTTCCCCTCAGAGTCGTCCTCCTCAGTGCTGGTGTACATGGACACGACCACAGCAAGAACAACCACCCGGCCGACTCCTCTCGTCACCATCACCAGGACGTTCACCACGTCCACGGCCAACCCACGCGGCAGGAGCACCACCACTGTGTCGCCAGCAGAGGGCAACAGACTGGAGCTCACCACGCGGCCGCCGTTCGTTTCGCAGCTGCCCAACATAGCCGTGGACTACTGCAGCCCGGTGGAGGAGGCTGACGTTTCCTGGCCAAAAACGCACCAGGGACAGGTTGCTAAGCAGCCATGCCCTGCCGGAACAATAGGTGATACTTTATGACATCATAACTGGCTGACATCATCAGGGATCAGGGGTAGCAATAATGTTTGCCAGACCATAAAGTTAATTTTACACAGCGGCTTTCATGGAATTTTAATAAATTTGTTTTGTGGAAAGTATTTATTTGTTGCTGAATGTTCCTAAAATGTCACCAGACATTAAAGTTTAATTACCACTGAATATGACCTAATCTATTTTAGTTTTACATCATTTGTATATCCCCAGTTTCTATTAGTTTTTGGCAGGTATAGAACACCCAGTGTAATATGACTGGAACAGTAATCTTGTAATTGAGACTCAATAATTTGTTTTCATCGAGGACAAGCAACCAAATTAGATTAACAATGTGGTGTTTGGTTGTGCGACTCAAGCCAGCACCTCTGATCGGTCGCATCAAGCGTGTGATGTTCTTTACCGAGGCCTAGACTGTCTGAGCCGTTATCGGCACCAAACCAGAAATGTTACACATACAAGTAAATTAAGTGCACCTGTGTTATTAAATGCACATGTATACAATTTTTGGGATATAACATAATGCAGAAAAATAGACATAATGTACTGTAATTACGTTTTGTGCCTTGGTACAAATCAAAGCCACTGTCAGAACATATACTGTATTTATACAGTAGCATATTTACATGTAAATTCATGCAAGAAAATTTGCAAGCCAGCCTCAGACATTATGTGAGATGGACGTTGGAGAATCTGGCTGACTCGAGATGAAACTAAGTGGGTCACATGAAGTTCATAGAGACTGCATCAAGCAAATGAATGTTATTAGGCTAAGGAGCCTTTCCTCGAGGCAATCCATTGACCTTTGAAAACAAACTCACCTTCTAAACCCCGAAACTTAGTTTCATGCATATTAGCCACAGATTGAATTGTACAGTATATTAATCTGCTGTATCTAATTGCGTTTAGTTATCATAATGCGCTTTGTTGCATAATGACTGCACATCTAAGACAATGGAAACCCGATATAAATGCAATATAAATATAAATGCGAGCACACGCAAATAAAGCCGGCAGTTAAAAATGCGAAGAAAGTGAAAGATGTGATTTAGATTCACATTAGGGATCCTGTCGGAACTTCCCCTTGGGCCCTAAATAACTGGAGCGTGATCCTTGTGTTCATAGTCGCACATGTAAAATTGCACGCTCCGTTTCTGCATGCTCAGACTCACCAGCGAGAGCGAATTTGGGCCATTTTGAGATCAGAATGCTCAGCAACCTGGACTTCTGTCTGTCTGCATCCCAGGGGTTGCTACCTACACATGCCTGCCGCACGATGGGTACTGGGATCCTCAAGGGCCGGACCTCAGCAACTGCACCTCGCCTTGGGTCAGCCACATAACGCAAAAGGTGAGAACCGCACGAGCAAGACGCCCAACCGGTCAGCTGGAGAACCTCCTTGGTTTGCCCTCTGCTGTGCCTTTATGATGTTCATGATAATAATGGTGGTGGTATTGGTAGGGATGGTGTACGTCATCTTATTAATTTGCGTTGTTAGCTGCGCAAACTAGGGGGTGGCGCAGTGGTGCAGTGATTAGCACTGTCGCCTCACGCCTCTGGGATCAAGGTTTGAGTCTCTGCCAGGGTTGTGGAGTTTGCATGTTCTCTCTGTGTCCTCATGGGATTTCCTCCATGCACTCCAGTTTTTCCCCACTCAGTCCAGAAACACGCTGAGGTTAATGGGAGTTACTAAATTGCCCCTAGGTGTGCCTGTGTGTGTGAATGGCGTGTGTGTGTGCCCTGTGATGGGCTGGCGCCCCATCCTGGGTTGTTCCCTGCCTTGCGCCCGTAGCCTCCGGGATAGGGGGTCCCCTGCAACTCTGAATAGGATAAGCGGTTACAGAACATGGATGGAAGGATGGGCCTGCTCAACCCAATGTCAGCTCTTTTACAAAAAAAAGTTTGAAAGTAAAAAAAATCATGGGAAACGGTCTCTGCCAACGACAAAGAGCAAATCCATCATTCACTTTCTTTCTGGTTTGATCCCGTCTCTGGGAAAAACATTGAATCATTCTGTTGTGAACTGAGTAATATTTTACTCATAGACTAGTGAAATGTTCATTAGTGTTCATTATTCAAGCAACGCTCTTGAACTTCTTTTGTTTAGGAATCACACACAATGCATCACATACTCTTATTGTAATAGGATTACATTATGAGGCATATGATGCAGTAAAGTTTACCCTTTCAGAAAGAAAAGCATCGTAACCAGCAAACAGTTTTAGTAGTCTTATATTCATATTCTTATATTCATAATAGCTGTAGTAGTGTTTTTTTGATACTTTATTGATCCCCGTGTGGAAATTGTTTTTACGCCTCCCTCAACTTGCTCTTTGTAGAGTAAGTTGTCCGCGAAGGGCAGCCACCCGCTGGGGCGCCCAGGGAGCTGGGGGTTAAGGGCCTTGCTCAAGGACCCACAGACGTGCTGAGGCTGGGTTTGAACCGGCGACCTTGTGATTACAGGTACACAGGCTGCACCCCCCCCCCTCCCCTAGTTGTAGTTGGTCTTTCCATTTCATGATTTATTGTTAATCAGTATTATTTATGTATTTATTTTTTACGAAAGGACTATTAAGGATCTTTTATGGTCTGAAAATACAGTGAATGAAAGTGACAGGCACATTAGTCAAATTAAATGTGCTTTCTAATTAAAATGACTGTCAGTGGTGTTTGTGAGGTCAGCGTACTCATTTTCACAGGACCCAATTACAGTCCTTAACGGGAAAATGGTAACAAACCCAAACTTAAGTAAGTTGAATTAAGCTGGTGCTTATCTTGCTATTGCAATGAAGGGGCAGCTTAACCCTGGCCTCTGACTAATCAGTACAAGTGCTTACTCAGTAATTATGCTTTCACCGAGTGTCAAAGGTATTTGAGAATCACTCCATTCAGCAGTTTTCACAAACATTACATCACATGGCATTATGACACAAAATGATTCCAATGTAACAAATGTAACCCTTTGGAGCTGGCGAGTCTGTGGGACCAAACAGAAATCTCGCCAAACCGTTTAAAAATATTTTAAAAACACTTTAAAAACACCCACAGAAACCTTGAACGTCTACTTTTGAAATATATACAGGTAGAAACAAAACATATTTTTAGAGCTTTATAAGGAGAATAAAAACTACAAGAGCGACTGACCCAAGTGTCAGAGTCTCAAAACAGCGCTGATCGCCCACCCATTAGCAAATTGGTTTATTCATATGATAACGATACGATAATCCCACGGTTGTTACTGGGTCAAGAAAACGCATGAAAATTCCCATAAAGAAGAGCACATGTCTGGGTTTGGTTTATACTGATTGAGGAGCTGCAAATTTTTATTTTGTGATGTGAGAGTTTTCACTGAGAAAATGCGGTAAAAATACCGTAAAACCTCGGATTGCGAGCATAATTCGTTCCGGTAACGTGCTCATAATCCAAAGCACTGGTATATCAAAGCGAATTTTCCCATTAGAAATAATGGAAACTCAGATGATTCGCTCCACAACCCAAACATATTCATATAAAAGTGATTAATACAAAATATAAAGTAAAAATACATAAAACAAATTAACCTGCACTTTACCTTTGAATAGAATGGTGGATGGTGTGAGGGAGACGAGAGAGAGGAGAAGAGGAGGGTTATTTTGAAGGACGACTTTCGCTATAACTAACAGAATCACTGCTATCTGAGTCTTTTTCTTTTTCTTCGACTTTAACAAGGAACTTATCAAATGATTCAGGTGGTGCTTTTCTACTAAATTTTGACTATACGAGTGAGGCACGTCGACTAGGACCGAACATGGGAGACGATTACCCACAATCCCACAGCGAGAGAGAGAAGAACCATCGGCTCAGTTGTGATCACGTGACACTCGGCAGACAAAGCGTATACGTAATACTCGTATCGCAAGACTATCAAGTTAAAATTTATTTAAAAATCTTGCTCGTCTTGCAAAACACTCGCAAACCAAGTTACTTGCAATCCGAGGTTTGACTGTACATAGTTTCAATTCATAGATAACTGTGAATTCAGACAAGCAGTGATTGTGTAAATTACAAAATGTCACTTGTTTTCTAATTTTGATGGCTACTGTAAAAAAATATCGTTATAAAAATATATGCAAACTCATGTTGTTAATTTAGTGTTTTTCACTACCTGTAGGAGACTTTTTCGCATGCCCCGAGTTATTGGAAATTCTGTTTGGCAGATAAATGCATTGCAGTTTAAAACAACAAATAACATAAAAATCTATGAAAAAGGCAATCAAGGACAATTGACTAATTAAAAAAAGAAAATAATAGCTGTGAACTTTAAGAATGCATTATATCCCTTGATTTGTTTGCATAAAATTCCAGGAATCTGCTACAGTAGGTGTGGGCAAAAGGCATCCATCCATTTTCAGTACCTGCTTGTTCCGTTCAGGGTCACGGGGGGTATGGAGCCTATGGGCATATGGTAGGAAATAACCCAGGATGGGGTACCAACCCATCACCGGGCACGCTATAGGCAATTTGGTAACTCCAATTAACCTCAGCATGTTTTTGGACTATGGGGGGAAACTAGAGTATCTGGAGGAAACTCCGCAGTGACACAGTGAGAACATGCTAACTCCATGGCAGAGACTCAAACTCAGGTCCCAGAGGTGTGAGGCAACAGTGATAACCACTGCGCCACCATTTGCACAAATTATAAATGGAAAAAAATGCATAAAACTTGTTTTGGCTCGGGACCTATTTTATAGACCTATTTTTTATGACAAGGAAGTTCAGACCCATTTGACTCTAAAATTAGTCCAGCATAATTCATGCTTTATCTTCATGTATCCAGTCTGTTGCTGTCTAACATTCTGACAGTCCCAGAAAAAAAAAATCGCAGCTGTGTCTGGGCCGATTCGATCTGAAAGTGTGGCCGCTTCTCACGGGGCTTAACACGCCTTTGTGTCTCCTGTCACTGGAAAGATGAGGATAGGGGAGACGGCGGCCATCATCGCCCGGGAGCTCTCAGAGCAGACCAAGAGCCACATCCACCCGGGGGACATCTTATATGTGGTGAAGGCCATGGGCCAGCTGGTGGACCTGCTGGACGTCCAGCTCCGTAACCTCACCCCCGGGGGAAAGGACAGTGCGGCTCGCAGCCTGAACAAGGTAGGGGCCACTGGCACCTGGAGACACCTGCCTGCAGCCTAGCCTTGCTCGTCCAGTCTAGAGGTCTTTATACACACACACATATATAATGTGTGTGTATGTGTATGCATACGTGTGGGTGGTGTATGTGTGTTTGCGTGTTTTATATATATGTATATATAGCTAATTTCACACAAAAGAAACATTGGCAATCATTTCCCCTTATTTAATGTTTTGAAAATTACTCTGCAGATAAAAAAAAGAAACATGCAATTCCTGACTAAAAGTAATCTGGAAATCTAGCTTCAGGTGGGATAGTAATGAGCTCATCTGTTTATCTGATTATTTGGCTGGATGTTAATGCTCGGTGGGTCATGTGACACCCCAAAGTTTAATCATTTGTACACATTAAGAAAATGGCCCTGACCTGCCTAATATCAGTCGGTGTTTATCGTAGGAGTTTCAGACCAAGACCGATCATTTTTAGGCCAGAAGCAGATCCTTGACCATTCACCCTCAAAAGTTAATCTGTAAATAAATTGTGCGTGACACAGATCTCTTGAAGTACCTCAGAGAAGCCGGGGGTTCTTCAGACGTCGTGGGTATCGTTAGAACCCGTAGCGCTCGGATTGTGTGTGAGGATTATCCTGTCGCCAGGGAAACAAGTGTATTTGTTTAAATCCCGCACTACAAGATGAAAGAACACTGCTTGTCAGGTTTATGAGCAACAAAGGGCTCGATTTGCTTCATGACAGCCTCTCCCAAAAATACGTTGGAGAATCAAAAATGAGAAAGACGTACAATGTCTCCTTCAGGCCTGACCTTAACTCCGCTGCCATCTGCAATGCGAAGCATCTCGTTCAGATTTGCAGAGGACTGTCAGTTACGTTTTTATTTTCGATTCCAGCTTTTTCCTATATTTACACATGATAGTGGCAAGTGCTCAGAAATGCGAGATACAGTAGTGCAGTCATTAGTGCAAAGCAAATTGCTCAGAGTCCGCTGCTGGCCGCATGCAGGGCACCCAGGCAGTGAAGTTAACGTAACGCATTCATTTCACGGCACCGCTGATGAGAAGCAAACGTCAGTGAAATCCAAAATGTCAGCCATTAATACGTTTCGACGGCTTCACTTGTACTGGAACGCGGACACCTGTTTTTAAAATGGCTTTTCAAACTTCATTTTATTCCCGTAACCAGATGCTCCCTTTGAGATTTAATGTCAATTCTTCAGAGCGGATGTGAGCATATTGCAGAACGAACGATTACACGGCATGGTGAAAATCTGATCTCAGTCCCCTGTCCCTCTGTATCCATCAAATGCGGTGATTAATAGATATTAATTTCCAGCCTCGCGGCATTAGAGGGACGTCACTGTTACCGAGGTGGCAACTGCTGGATCTCATCTTGGTTCTGAGAGTCAGATGAAGAGTCCGGCAAATGTCTCTTCAAGAATGGAATCCCTACCTGACGCCACCCCTCCCTGTGTTTAAGGCCATTTTCCCCCAGGACTGTAAACACTAAATTGCCAGCGAGAGCACAGGGCCGTGAGAATCGGAGACACGCGTCAGTGAGCCGGGGCCGGCGTTGACGTCGCTGTGTACTGGACTCTGAATGAGAAGCCCTGCTTTTCTCACCCATAAGCTCAATGCGCCCTTAGTGCCACTCAGTGAGCTTCAGTCAGCGGCTAAAAATAAACATTGATTTTATGCCAGAATACTATATGATAGCTTAATGGGATATCTTATAAGATTCCTGAATGACACAAACTGTCATACAAATAATGTATACATAACTGTTACATACATGCTGCCAATGTAATAATAATTATTATTAAAGATACACGTTATTCTTGAAGTCCTGTAATACACAGCATATACAAATGGTTTTATAAAAGACTATGGAAGTACCAGGAGCTGTTTTGTGTAAGCACATTATGAACAGTGTTCATCTTCCATGAAAAGTCACATGGTATTCTTTGAGATTATCTCTTACTGGGATTTGGTTAGCCCCTGCCGGATTCTGCCACAGGACTCATTTCAGCATTAAAATGATTCACTGTGAGCGATTTCTTTTCCTGCTTCCTGTTTTTTTTTTTAATTCTTCATATCCTGTTTGGCATCGAGTCCCTGTAAGCCGCATTACGTTTGAGCTCGATTATTTCAATACCCTCTGCTAAGAGGCAGCTGAATTAAAGATTCCTTTGATAATGTGCACAGTACACTGCGCTTTCAGACAAAGCCCAGATTGAGACTGCCAGTGACGAGATCTGTACCACTTTCATGATCAAAGGCCCGGCAACGTTAATGGTGCAGCTTCCTGAGCAGTTGAATGCAACTTGAAATGAGTGCATGTGTATCAGGATGGGGACACATTAAGGCAAATCGAGAGTATGGAGGATTAATGACGAGATCCTCACGAGGCTGACAAATCGCTGTTTATTTTTTCATTTGAGTCTCCAGAATAAACACAGGTACTTACCTATTCATATCAGAACAGAACGTCTGCATGTCTCTGTGCGCCTGTGTCTAGCTATCCCATCAACAAAACAACAAATTAAAGAACCTGCTATGTTCTCAGATCACATGCAAACACGGAGCACGTTAGCGAACGACCGAAGCCGCCGATGTCCGCCGTCCGCCCCCGCGGCGTCGCCTCTCATGGTGCTAATGAATTGTTTTCGGTTTCAGCTGCAGAAACGGGAACGCTCCTGCCGATTTTTCGTACAGGTACCCCCGCTGAAATTTTCGATTTGTGAATGTTGGTGTAGCCCAGTGGTTGTGAAAGCATGCTTTGTGTGTCCCCCGCCATCATCATCTCAGTCAAAAAAAGGATCTGTTGGAATTGCTCCTTAAAGCTGTTATTGCTCTGCTATTTTATATTTATATCTACGTTATTTATTTATAATGTTCAATGTATGAGTTTTTTTCATTAGATCTAGACCACTAAATAATCACTATTTATTGACGTCATATGTAGATTAATTGTTCCACGCATGCCTTGTGATTTTTGTTTTGCACCTGATATGATTATGAGTGTGGTAATGGTCCTGTTTACTATGGTCAGACAGGGCCATGTACCGAAGGTACTGTATAGTTTTTGCTTGATGCTAACCCATTTCAGCTAGCTTCACGTGTCGTGCTGAATACTGCTGCCAAACATATCTTCCAATGAGTTCGGACATGGCTATTCATCATATTTATTTATCAATTGAAGATGAAAAAACACATCACACGTAAGCCTTAATAATGATTATACATGAGAAATAAATCATAAATAAATCATACTGTTGCTATTCCCCATTACACAAGTAATCCATATTTTGTCAGTATTGTTATTAAACACAATATTCAATGACCCAATTAACGATCCGTGTGTTAATATCCTACAAGCTGGTACAATGTTACACCGACAGTAATATGAGCATATTAGAGTCAAGATGAGGCTTTTTGATGGATTACGTGCCACAATGTTAGCGACATTATTTACACTTATTTATTTATTTGAACGTTATCTATGCATTTGTGCGCGGTTACTTCTTTCTGGTCGTTGTTAGGTGTTCTTTAAAGGTTCATTCACAGCCTGGGTCTCTCTTCCTGGGAGGTCCTTTTGTAGTAGCCTAATACAGTCTTAATGAAGGATTTCCCCGAAGCCTCAGTGAAACTCAGTGACGCTCAATTTACTTTCCTGTTTGGCACCCTCCTGGGTGACCCCATATGAGCTCACCCACGCGGCCTCCCCGTCTCTCACAGCCTCCCCTTTGAAGAACTAAAGCTGTCCTCCTCTCCCTCTTGTTTTCTGCATCCACAAACCGGGTTGAGCTGGTCAGCCGGGTGCCCACGTTTACCTCCGGCCAGCTCGGCATCGCAATTAATATGATCGTTATCGTGGCGAACAGAGCCGGCGGCCAGCGGATCCATGCGGTTTGCAGTCCCCGCTCTTCCTCCCGGCGCAATTGGGGCAGAATGATTGATCGCGGTGTGCAAGCCGCCCTCCTCAGCCCCCTGAGTCAGACGGAAAAACGGCTTTCATATCACTCAGATCCCGCTACGAAGAGCAAGGGGAGGACTTCAGAAGGTGTCTCTGCTCGCCAAAAGCTGGATCCATTAGCCAAAAGGGGGCGTATCAACATAGGAGAGTATTTTGGGTCAAGTTAATGGTTAGGTGTGGAATCGCATCCGGATGTACTGTCCGGGCCACGACCAGCCACGATGGGAAGTGATAACTTTTTATGACGAGTCAAGTCGAGGTGAGTTAGGAAAGGCCATAAGGACTCATGAAGATCTGACTGCTTGAGAGTTCCAGTTGGATTTCACCATTAAAATGCACCTTGATGTCAGAAGTTCAAACTAAAGTACGGTCATGATGCTGTTTTATTGACCAAGACCAGTACCAGCTCCAGCTTTGAAATGGGTGGACCACAGGATTATCTATGGGCGAGGGGGTGTTGACTTAGCTTATAACTGGGGGAGCACAGCTTATGATTGAGTCGGCCAGCCCCGCCCACAGCGGAACTGTGCCAGAACAGGAGTATAATATTGACTTGCCTTTCCTGTCTTTCATCTAAATATAATTTACACATTTAAAAAACATCAGAAGTTCTTAGAGTAGGACAACGCGCTATACCGTTTCAGCGTCATCGTCACGCTATCTGTCGGCCCTGCTTTGCGTCATGGCAACACCCACCAACTTATTTGACACCCTAATACCGGGTTCTATTTGACTATAGTTTATTTTGGGTAAACTTCACCTCCATTTTTTTGTTTTATAAACATTGCAGTATTAAGTGCAAATATTTCAAATATTGCGACATGATATCGCAATGTGATGTCGTGGAGCCCAAACTTAGAGGCAAAGTATTACATTTTAAACATGACATGCACAGGCTGTGAGTTTACCTTAGGTGGTCTGACACCTCCGTGGTCTTCATAACCTAGGATAATTCTGCATAGGCGAGTAAATCGTTTCTGAGTCAACATGATTGATTGTTCACCCGTTTCCTTTTGAGACAAACAAACTCTCTGTACGTGTCTGTTTATGTTGTACCAGGCCGGCCTGATGTTTTCAAGAAATAAGTCAGCTTGTATGGGAATTTGCTTCCACCCCTAAAATGCGTGAACCGCTGTTTACCATTTTGCAGCCGTGGTGATTGGGTGCGATCTGACATCGGTTTCTACATCGGAGGTTATTTGTCTGGTCCACAAGCATTTACTTTCATGTTGGGCTGATTACTGATCACAACAAATTCCAATCTGTCTGTTTTCCATAACCTCTAATCCAGTGGAGGGTTGTTGCAAGGCTGGAGCAAAAGCCTGAAATGGCACACACACTAAGGGCAAGTTAGAGAAATCTGTCCACAGCTTTCGGATGCTTGGGCTACTCAGAAAAACTGTCGCAGTCTCAAAGGGAGAATGGACAGCATCCATGTCGACAGACCCAGAACAGCAATAAAGCCAATAATCCTGCAGCCCAGGATGTTCCACAGTGAGCCCCAAAACCACCCAGTCAAGTTAAGTAACAAAAATGAGTAAAACGAGTAACATTATTCATTTTGAACCTCCTAATTATGTCCTTTGAATAGCTACACATGGATTTCCTTACTCTTATAAGATGAAGCGAGGACATTACATGGGATTAGAGTGAGAAAACCATTCAAGTAAAAGATAAAAACAGGATGGGTATATTTTCAGATACTTTTGAAGTGTATTTTTTTTCTAATCTTCTAAGCCGTGATTATTACTATATCGTTTTCTTTTTTCTTCCCCTGAAAGGGACTTGTACACATCATAGCTTTAAACTCATGGGTTTTAAACCCATTTATACAGTTGGCTGCAGTTTATAGTTGGTGTGAAGGACCGTTTTGGTAACCATTTTACGCTATCCATTGTTCCGATTTAATATTTCATGTATATTGTTTGTTAGTGAAAAAGTTCCACGCACAGAAGTTATGGCTTTGGCTCTTTGTGGCATCACAGACCTCGTCTGATTGATATTTTTTCTACGCGAAATCCACCCAGGATTGATTGTTATGAACACCAACTCCACCCCTGTAGTTGTTTAAATGGATCATCTCGTGCACAGGCCCAGCAGTGCATAGGAGTCTGTTTCCTTTCTTCTAGATCTTTCCCTGTAGACGTGTCTTTTTGCAAGCCTTAGTTAGCGGCAGCCGCTGTTTACCATACCGCCAACGGCCACCGCGAATCCTCCGCCATGCCCTGCGAAGCGCACACGTCTCATTTGCAAGTCAAGCACATTTTCGCGGTTCAAGTCGACCAGTTCCTGCCTTACCGACTGTTCTGTTTACATGTCGGGATTAGAGTTTAACGGAGTCTTTACGCACTTAACCCAATTTAAGGCATTAAGAGGCACACACTTACCACGGCATATGAAATGTTGTGGAAACTTTGCATTCTATCATTTCTGTTTCTTCCTCTTGCAATTAATCTTGAGAAATGATTATACTTGCTAATATCGTACATATTGAAACATTTCCCTTTTTCGCGTTTCTCTTTTCACGTATTCCTGTGGGCCACACCACAGAACAGTGCCTGCATTCATTTAATTGTGTGATATTCCGGGGAATATTTTGCTTTTCCTTTGCCATCTGCCACTGTATATATATATATTTTCAACTTATGTAATATAAATCGATATATGCTTTGGAGATATGTACAGCTACTATGATATGCATTGCATCAGCTATAGTTATTCGAAATATTCATGAGAGGTCCACCTACGTTTCTGTTACATTCGACTTGCTATTTTGTCAGCCAAGCTAAGCATCATGCCTGGATCAAAGACCTCACCATAAATGATTAGATATAATAATGTTATAATGTTTAATAAAACAGGTAAAACATCAACAATAGTGATTGTTTCCGGATAGTAAAACAGATGGTTACTGATTCCTACTGAAAAAGGAAGAACTGCTGTATAAGTGAAGAAGAAAAAAACACACATGCATGGAACGGTTAGAATTAGGTCACCCGGTGCAATTTGATCTACCCTCTGGCTTTGGGGTGGGGGGTGGGGGTTGCATCTCCTCTGCCGTCCTCACTGACCTTCAGCCGAAGATCTAGGAACTAAAACAGAAGGCATATTAATCACCTACTAACCACTCTGGGCTGGTCTTATCAGAGCCACGCTTAACATCAACTGCTGGCAGCAGCTGTCTTTCCTGTAGTCCACCGGTGGTGAGATATGTACGGTAAATCAAAAGTAAACAAATGACAGAGGTGCTGCTTGAAGGCAGAGCTGTGATGCACAGGCCGCAGGTTCTTCTGAAGCCTCTGAGCTTCTCCAGAATCACGATTCATGTGATATTTACATTAGGGCAGAGATCACGCTGATGTAAATATAGCTGCCCCCCCCCCCCCCCCGATACTTCCCTGAGTTTAATTAAGAACAAAATTCATCACCCCGGGCTCCTCATACGAATGCGTCTGTAAGTAATTATATTTTTAGTAGAAGCAATTTATTAATGTTTTTCTAAGTGTTATAACACTGGATTTAATATCTCAATTTGTACCACGGGGACACTGGGGTATTTAGCTGATATTTACTCAGGCAAAATCAATTTCTAGGCAAGTCCTGTGATGCAAGCTATTTCTGTACCTTTCTTTAATTTGATCCACATTATGTGCTGCACTGTGCCATAGGAGGTCAGTTTGCGTGGACCATATTGATTCCTGAAAATACAGGTAGACCTCCAACACGCAGTGGTAAATTGCCTGAAAAGTGTATCGTATGGATCTGTAAGGTTGCCTTCGGTTTACGGGTTGTGGGAATTTGTCTCCGAGTTAGCCGTTGTCAACTTGCATCCAATACTGTGTCTTAATGAATAACTGATCTGACATACTGGTATACACGGAGGGTATTTTCGACGGATATGGGATATACCCTGGACACACATACTCGCATACATTCATGCAGTCACACACAGTTTCTGTAAATTGTGAATGCTGGATATATACAAGCTTATATTTAAGAATCGCAGAAAGATCTCTTTAAAAAGACATCAGTGTAAATCTGGTTTTAATGCCCAATACTTGATTGTGAATTTATGCAGAGACCTTTGAGGGCCACAGCTACAAATGTCACATGCCATTCCTTTGGAGTCTAAATTAGTTTGATTTTTATGAATGGGCTCTAACAGCAGGCACTGCACGTTCTGGAGCTCAACCCCATTTAGAATTCACTGATCAAGACAGAATGTAACTATAGTGTTAATCCCTCAGGCATTTCAATAAAGTGCAATATTAGAGGCTTTGCAGTCATATAGGCGCTGGGATGGCCCATGGCTTGTTTTTGGTCTCAGATAATTTTACTTTCGTAGAGCTAAACTTTCTGGATGCTATGTGATAGCCTACCATTTGAAAATGTACTCTGGGCCCTTTTGAACAAAAATGACAAAAATTATACATTTCATAAACCTACATATTGTACTCAGTTTTTGTGTAATTCGTAAAGTAAACAGACTTATGTCAGTATAATCAAATTTATCGCAAAATGAAAAAGGCCCTCCATTTTCGGTCAGCGAATGCCAATTACCCTGTCTGGCTTCATGACGTTAAAGGGCCCGGCTTTGGTGTTCCTTCCTGGTTTTGAAAGGAGATTGAACTGGCATGACAATGAGTTGCATTTACAGGCTGCAGGACAATGAACACAAGGGAATTCTTAGTATCCACTGTAGCGTGCTTTGTTCTAATGAGTTTGTGAAGGCTCATCTTGGAATTGTACTATCTTATCAGGCTTCTGACTCATTTTCGTTTCAAGCATGGGAACAGAAACGAGTTTCTCGGCAGCTGTTCAGAAGTATCGGATTTGTGGTCTGATTACGGACTGTATAAGAACATGGCCATCGAGAAGTTTTTCGGAATTTTCTCCACAAGTCCGAGCGTCGGCCTACAGCTTTCCCTGCATCATGCCATTGCTGCACATTCTATATTAACAAAATCATCAAGGCAGAGGGGGAGAAATGTATCATTTGTATTTGTTTAGTCGACATCACAGAAATCAAAACAAACAAAAGAGCTTCATAAATCATTCAAATCAAACATTCTAACTTGTAGAACTGAAATACATATGCCGAACGAAGGAATTCAGTTTGAAATTAGAGATCTGCAACTCCTCAGATAAATCTGAAACCAAACATCAAGCAAGCAGCATCATTCAGCACACTTTAGTGCCGTTTGTGTAATTTAGGAAATTGCACGTTCCTAGTCCTTCCATTCGGCCTGAGTGAGTGCACCAGCTAAACTTCTCCCTTTCACGCAGGCCATGGTGGAGACGGTTAATAATCTGCTGCAACCCCAGGCCCAGGCGGCCTGGAGGGAGCTCTCCGCCATCGATCAGCTGAGAGCCGCCACCATGCTCCTCGACACGGTGGAAGAGGGGGCCTTCATGCTGGCAGACAACCTGCTCAAGACAGACATTGTGCAGGAGAGCACAGAGAACATCCGTAAGTAGAGACAGATAACCTTCTCACGGAACAGTCAGTAGTCGTGGATAAACAGAGTGCTCTGCGACAAGGCGATGGGTTTGCCATTTCTGGAAATGCTCGTTTTTGATTAAAGCCAGTCTGCGCCTGTATCTGTTCAGCTGAATGAGCGAGTGGTTTTAATTGGCACTGTTGATTATCACCAGCAGTTATATAATCATCATCATAAACTTTTATTGAAACACAATTAGCACACAGGATGTAATGTTTGGTATAGTCACATAGTCACACTTTCCTTTGATTATGCACTGATTTACTTTTAAATGATGGAAGTGCCCTTTGTAAAACAAGAATGCACAAATTACTTTCACTGTGTGACACTAAAATGCTAAAAAGCAAATGAATATTTTTATTTACGTTTTTTTTTGTTGCTCCAAATGCCCAAAGTGATGCCCTGTAAACTCCACAACTATCTTATATTTTTATTTATTTATTTATTTCTATTTCATTTATTATTGTTTAGCAGTTTAAATGAAATCATTTATTGCAGTGAGATCCTGTGAGGGGCTATCTTTTGTTTTCTGCTCTAATAAAACTCTTTTTGTAACACTTTGTAACTTAGCAACTCAGTTACTACTCAAATACAAATCATACACAAATAGTAACTACATGAAATACATGAACTTTTGTGATTGATTACTGATGAACAAACATGGGATCAGTACGTAACTGACACTTAGTTACAGGTTAATTAATACATTAAGTAATAGTGTATTGCTACCTTATTTGTGCCCCCTTAAGTTAAGTGTTACCGCTATTTTTTTAGGTATAAGTTACAAGTCAGTTAATTACAAAAGAGAAATGCTAATTTGCTCTCTGTCATCCTTCAGTTTTTCAGATTTGCATTACATACTGTACCAAATGTGTGCATAACTACAGACAATTTCAAGAGATGTTTTTATTTTTAATATACTCAGAACATATAACCATAAAAGTATCAGACCCTCAACCTGTTCTCTTATTTTACTGAACTAGAAGTACTACTTTGAATTGTAGTTCAATGTAGAATTTTTAGTTCAAATATTTTTATTTCAAAGCACTGAAAATCAGCATTAATTATTTTTATATGACAATTGTGTTACTGTTTAAGAACATATTCTTTGGGAAAAAAAGAAAATATGCTGTGTTGTGGAAGCTTTGAGTTGGCACTGGTGTAAAGGGATTTTTTCTGACAAGGACACAATTGCTTAGCCTAATTGGCCTTCACCTAAAAATCATTAAAAAGCCACATTTTCTGGATGAGAAGTCCACAGTTAGGGGGCAGTTTTTAGGCTGTGATTCTGAAGGGTAGTAGTGAATCTTAAAACTAAATGGCGATCCAGAAAAGTTCGAGCCAAAGTATCTTAAATGCAATAATTAGGGGAAAGGGCAATAGAGCAACAGTCAAAGATTTAGATGTTGGCCCAGTAGTGGGGTGATCAGATAATCCATGTCAGTCAGGACACTTCGAGCTACTTCAGGTTTTACAAACTACTTTCAAACCGAAAGGCTCCTGTGCTTGGCTAAGTAGCTCAGTTCTTCTTCTGTTTTGACTGGTTTGTTTCCTTGATTGAAAGACTCATCCAGCTGTTTCACATTAACATTACTGGCACATGCATGATTAAAGGAGACTGACCAATCAGCACAAAGCAAGAACTCAGTGCTTAAGTGAAATCCAGATCGTTTTAATTGAAATGATAGTTTACGAATCCTGTCCTAGCTCAACGTGTCCTCTCTGACATGGATGATCTGGTCACCCTACCCAGTAGTCACTGTTGGTTCCGTTGTCAGGAACTTGATGTTAGATCAAACGACCTATCTGCTGCCTAGAAAAGGTCGTCTCTTGAAACGCTCAGCAAGAATTAGCCTTAGACTTGTGAGGAAAGCCATAGAGAGGTCAGTGATACCTTTGAAGGAGCTGGGGTTCAGTAGCCGAGAACAAAGGTTCTCCAGTCAACCTTATCAAGACTTCTATATAACACTGATCCATATGCTAGTGTTGTACAAGAGAAGCTATGTAAACTCATATGTATAATTTGCCAAAATGCATATTGGTGACCCATTTGCTATTTGTGAAAAGATTTTGTGGTCAAGTGAAACCAAGACAGAGCTTTTAAACCAAAATTTAAAGCAATACATGGGACACAAATCTGACACTCTCCCCATTTCAGAAATGCCAACAGTGATGTATGACAGTGATATAAATCTCAGGGCCCTGATGGCATCTTACCTATAGTTTTAAAAGAGATGAGGGATATTATTAGCCAACCTTTAA